CTGGGAGGGGTCCTGCCTATCCAGATGCTCTGGCCTTCCTTGCCGAGGGACTAGACTGTAGTTCTGCTCAGTCACCAGCCATTGCCTGGGCATTCAGGATCATCTTCGTCTTGATGGATGGTGCCTGGATCTTGTCCCCCATGCGGCCTCATTGGCTCTGCCTATAGCCCATGCCTGCTTTGACCATCGAGGCCACTTAGACAGGAGTGTTCACTGCTCAGGGCCTTTCGAGGTCTGTGTGATGTGGTCAGTGCATGAGAACAGCTGAGAGCACCTCAGTGATGTCTTGTCCTGCGCTGGTGTCAGTGGTGTCAAGGGGATCAGAATACTGTCCCTCAGCCTGCCTAAGGCCAGCACAGCTGTGGTCTCCTCTAGAAGCCAGTGGACCTCATATTTGTTGACTTTTTATTTTTCTTTGCAGGACTCAAGTTGGAAGCCAGGGCCTTGAGCGTATTGAACAAGCAAGCACCCCACAGCTGGGTTACACCCAAGCTCTTTTCCCCTTTTCTTTCTTTTTTTTTTTACATTTTTTTTGCTATTTATTTATTTTGTGTGTGCATGAGTGTTCGTGTGTGTGTGTGTGTGTGTGTGTGTGTATACCATGTCACTCAAGTACAGAGGTTACAGGACAACCCAGAATAGTCTGCTCTCTCCTTCCACCAGCTGGGTCCTGGGAACTCAGCTCAAGCTTGGCAGCAAAAACCATTATTCATGGGCCACTTGGTTAGATGAAAGCCTTTTAGACAGGCTCTAGGTTGCCCAGACTGGCCTTGAACTCTCCGTATGACCCACACAGGCCCTGAAATTGTGAATCTGGGGTTATAACCAAGCCTGGCTATGTTTTATAATTTTATCAAAAGTTTTAGATGTTTATTCAGACCTAAATATATCTTCCTTACCTCTCTTTCCCCTCCCAACACACACATGCCAGTTAACAAAGTAGAGGGCTGAAAAACAGCGTTTGCCTGACTTTGCCCACACCAAGGCCACCAGGTGTCTGGAATGGTCACTGGTCTCCATAGTTTCCACACCCTGGTGTGCTTCATTAGTATTAACCCATTTCAGCTCATCCACCCCTAGAGGACAGTGTCTATAATAGAGATCACAGTGTGTTTGTTCCAAGCTCTGGGTCATGGCTTTAGTGGACTACATTTCCCAGAATCCTTTGCATTTAGGCACACCCACATGTCTGAGCTCTGGCCAATGGACTTGGTCATGGAGGGAACTGTCCCACCCCTCCCCTTTTTCTTGGAAATAAACATCCTTCCATGCTATCCTCCACAGTCTCTTTCCCTCCTATCCAGCTATTGCAGAGAAGTCCGTAGGAGTGGCAGGGCCACAAGGCTTTGTCCCTCGCTCTATCAGCTCACAGCTGTCTGTGACAGGAGCAATGGATGTGCTTTTGTTTGGGGTCTGTCTTAACTCCCTTTCCTGGTGCTACAATAAAAGAAACTGACAGAGGGAATGTCTGCCTAGTACTCTAAGCCTGGCCAAGGACCTGTAACTGGGCGTTTATAGGTCTACACTGTTCAAAATGGACACGGTATCAAGCTGCCTTCCTCAGCAAAGCTTCTTGCAGTAGATGATATTATTGAGACTCATGACTGGTCAAGGTGCAGGGACTGCCTAGCCCTAAATAGGACCTCACTCTCTCTCTCACACGCATGCGCACACATGTGTGCACAAATGTGTACACACGACATGAATGTTGGACGGGGACTTGTTGGAAAGAAATTTTTCATCAGGAAAATGTGGAAGGGAGGGTACTGGGGGTGAAAAGGATTGAAATTCATGATATACATATATGAAATTGAGTTAGAATTAAAAAATCCAAAAGTTCTCTCTGATGAAAGTGACTTAATGGTTCAGTCCATCATGGCATGGGCCAGTCAAGGTGACTGAGAGCTGGGAACACAGCTAATACGCAAACTCCCTTTCTCATTTCTTACAGTCCAGGATCCCAGGGAGGGAGTTTGTCCACAAGGAAGGAATAGAGTCGGGATAATCCCCCATGGGCATGCCCAGTGGCTGGCAATGAGCACTAACCACTACAGGATTATTTGTTACAGCCATTGCCACTAGCAAGGTATCTGTCTTCACTGTCTCCATCCAAGTAGGGTTCTTTTTCTGCAAAAGGATCCCATTTTAGGTTCCCTGGAAGCTAACAGACTGCTCTCCCTGCCTTCATCCTGGAGACCTGAAGCCAGAGGGTCCCTCTCTGGTCCTGGCCTTCACAACCACCAGCCTCTTCTCCAGGGCTCCAAGTCTCACGAGCTGGGCGTTACCCCTTACCCTCATCCCTACGCCCCAGTTTTCTGCACTGTGATATGTGGTAGCTCCTAGCTGTCTCTGGCCATTCTGTCATCTCTCATTTATTTGGTTGTTGACTGGGACCGAAAGACTGGTATTCAGGGACCAGAGATAGAAACGTTATTTCCTTCCCGACAAGGGATTGCCAGCCTGGGTCTCTCCCGAGTCCTCCTACCCTGCTGTTGGAGGTGCCTAGGGACTGTCTCTGAGTGCCCAGCCTGTGAAATCCTATTGAAGGCTCCAGCAGGGTTGTTCTCTTTTCCTGGGACACCTGGATTCCCGCGGGAGAGGCTGCAGGAGGCTCCAGGGTCATGGAGGCCATCCACGGAGGAGGTCCGCCTACCTCTGCACCCTGTTTGACAGCTGACAATTATTTGGACTGTAAATTTCTGTTAATTTGCAAAGTGAGTACCCAACCTCAGAGCAGTGGCTTCGGCATTGAAAGCCACTTTCTAGATGGGGATGCTGGGGCCCTAAAAGGCTTAAGCTGTCCGTTCGGGGTCCCAGAGACGGTAAGCAGCAGCTATGGGCATGAGCTGAGGGTGGAGGTAGGTCTCTACCCGTTACATCCGACAGGCGGGGAAACCCTCTCATGACTGTGGGCACTCTGGCAACACGGCCTCTCCTGGGAAGACCACTGTCTCTTTGAGGAAGGTTCTTATGCAGCAAATTTACGAAGTAACCCAGGATGGCCTCGGCCTTGAACCACTGATCCTCCTGCCTCCACCGCCCAGGTGCTTGGATGCCAGGTGTGTGTCACCATGCCTGGTTTATTTGGCTCTAAGGATCAACCCCAGGCCTCGTGCATGTTAGAGAAGCAATCTACAGACTGAGCTGCACTCCCCCCAGCACCTCCCTCCTTTAAATAGCTAAATTGGCCTTCCATCTGCCTGTTCCCAATCCCCCAGTCCACGGTTATCTTCCTAGTAATAACCATAACAGCAGTAACTGTGCTCACTGTGTGTGCAGGGCCCCACTCAAACTGACCGCACCCTAGACTTCACTGATCCCTCTCACTGGCCCCAGAAAGAGGTGCTCTCAAGGCCCCATTCTAAGGATGGGCATGTTGAGGTCCAATGGCCTCCTCTGAGGGAATCCCAGGAGCAGCAGTAAAAACCTGGCTTTACCACCCAGTAGCCTGGAGGATAGAGCTGCTAGGGAGAGGCAGGAAGGCTGGCTCTCTCAAGAGCTCATGGGCTCCCTCCTCTCCTTCCCTCTGTGGGCCTTTGACCTCCACAGCACCCCAACCTGCAGCTTGTCCATCTCTGGTTCCCAGCACAGAAGGTAGCGGCAGCTTGGACTGCAGCAGGCTCGGCTCTGCTGAGTCTCTCCCGTCCCTATCGGATCCCTGCTTCTCCAGGCTGTGTGCTCACTTTGCAAAACAGCAGAATTTATAGCCCAAGTAATTGATCAGGGTGCGCCTGCCTCCCTCCATCTCGCTGGGTCTCCTAATTCCCTTCTCGCTTTTCCTCGGGTTTCTTCTCAGCATGCCATCTGTGGTGTCAGAGAATAGGAAGCCAAAACGGGAGGGGAGGGTTCTAGCCCTAGTTCTGCCAATTAAGAGTCAAATGAACCTCAGTTTCCCCATCCGCCAGACAAAGGGCCTAATGATACCTACTCCGGGTGTTAGGCTCCAGGGTGCTGGAGCCAAGGGTGGCCACTTACTCAGCAGAGCCACTCCAAGAGGCGAAGGCGGAACTGAGACCTACTTTCTGGACCGGTCACTGTGACAGTGAGAGCTTGTGGTGGTTAAGGGTTCCAGAGCAGTTAAAGGGTGACCTGCGGGTTTAAATCCAGGCCTCTATGCCTGGGATCCTAAACCCGGAAGCTACACTGCCCCTCTGCCTCTAGAGAGGGTCAGAAATAATGGGATCCTCGTCCTGCCCTGTCTGACCCTACTTCTCTCTATGTTGTGGTCAAGCATGGGCATGGGACAGAGTGTGTCACTACAAGGGGAATTTTTATAAACTGTAGAATGCTGATCTCTCCTAAATCTGCTGAAGGAACGGGGGTTCCAGGGAGGCCTGTAGAACCTTCTAGAATGATCCATAAGAGGACTCCAGGGGGCACATAACTGGCCCTTCCCAAGGCAGGTGAGGCACTAACCTAGGAGCTCCAGCGTACCTGGCCTGGCCAGGCCTACGTGGGTCGGGAGACCCTCCTGAGTCCTCAGGCTGGTAGTAGCCTCTGGGCGCCTTTCTGTTCAGTTTGGGGGGGTGATTGCTTTCCTGGGGCCACTGGTTTGTGTAACCCCCTCGATTCTCAGTCTAGCCCTGTCCTTCAGTCCGTTTGTCTTTGCCTGTCTCCTAGCCCCCGGGCGCCACCGACAGGATTTGCTTCCCTCCAGTGCCACAGCCTCCTCAGGTCAAGGCCATCTTCTTTCCCTCAGCTGCGCGTCCAGGGACGCCTCGGCCCTGTGCAGCAGCCAGGACCTCCTCCTGGCCGGACTCTACGGTCCTCAGCTGGGGACAGAGGCCGTTTTGTCCTCGCTTTGGGGCAGGGATGGAGGCTCCGTCCTCGGTGGCCGCCTGCTCGCGCTTTGCTGGAGGAGAGATGAGAGCAGGCTGCAGGGCTGCAGGCAGCGGCTCGCAGAACAAACAGAATTTTTTTTTGCAACTAGAGGGGGAAGCACAGAGCTAAAAATAAAACGAAAAGATCAGTATCTGTCAGTCTGACAGCTGATTGGCTGCTCGGAGATGCATATAATTACCAGCAACTGGCGCTGGGTAGGCAAAGCCCGGAGAAACTGCTGAGATGAGGTTAGGATTTAACCTTTAAATTCAGGAGCCACCGGAAAGCTAGGGGAGACGACGGGCGTCGGTGCTAATAAGGATGGGGGGCGGGGGCCGGAGGCACCGAGTCGGGGTCAGGTCCCCGGGCTCGCCCGAAGGCCCGGGGAACCCTCAGCCCGCGCCTCCGCCATCAGACTGGGAGTGCCTCTGATTGGGTGGCTCGGGGGCGGTGGGCCTTCTTCCCGCCCAGCTGGGGGTGTTGTCTTCCGGGAAGTTGGGGGGGTCGCATCTGGTAGGGAGGGGGAACTACCCGGTGTTTTGGGGGTACCAGGCCTCTCCCCGACTGACCCCATCCCCACGCACATTCCTCGGTCTCCCTGCCTGGTACTAGTAGCGTTTTGTTTTGATTTCACTGCCCACCTCTTCAGCTCCTCCTCACCCAGACTTCTTCCCGGCTTGGCCAGGGCACACTCAGTCTGGTCCCAGATTTCCCCAGAGATAGACCAGAGGGGTGTTGCAGCCCTCCCTGAACCTCAGTTTGTTCATATGTAAAATGGGGGTGGCGATGGTAAAACCTGCTGGATGCCTCACGGGTGACAGGGAATTTTGCACCCAATGATGCCCTTTGACTATCCACCCCAATCCAGGGACCAGAAGATCCTGGTCTCCCCATTTGTGAGCTGGAAGTAAGGGCCTGCCCTGCCCTCTGGTTGACCTTGGGGACCCAGTGAGCCCCTGCACTTCTTGGGGTGGTGGGAGGAGCTCCCAGCAGCTCCTGGTACCTTTCTCTTGCCTGCCCTTCCTCTGAGCATCTCGAAGCCCCTCAAGCCCAAGACATCCCCTGTTTTGGCCTCTGGGTTTCTGACTCACAGTTAGACTGTGGTTCCGAGGAGGGCAGGAACCACAAAGTCAGCTGTTTGGCCCATTCAAACAAGAAAAGAAACTTCATTTCCCTTGCTCTGTGATCTAAGAGGCCAGGCAGAGGCAAGGGTCTCAAGCAGTCACAGACTTAAAGCTAGCAGCGGCCTCAATGGCCAGGCAACTACCTATCCTCAGCACTCCTAGGACCTCTGCTTCTCACGCGACACCTAGGAGATGCCATCCTTGGACTGGAAATATGCGAAGTGCCTGGGATGAGGGAGGAAGGAGTGGCCTGGCTGTGATGCCCCACAAGGACCCCTGTAGTGCCCACAGTAGCCCCTAGGAAGCTACTGTTGGCATTCTGCAGATGCCAGAACTGAGGTCTGGAGCTGAGTAAGGACTGAGTTCTGAGACTGGAGGCAGCCCAGGCCTCGCCTCCCTTGGCCATCCCTGCAGCCCCTGGCTGTGGTGAAGATGAAAGGGAGGCCGAGGGATAGAGAAGGTTCTGGAACAGCTGCCCTAAGACCTTCCAGGCCTAGCGAGCCAGGAGGTCTTGCTTTAAACAGTTTCTCGGTGATTTCCAGTGTGACACGGTCCTGTAACTGTACCCCCCGCCACCCCAAATCTCTCTTTACTTCTTACTCTGATGAGGACTTCAACAGCGGTCACAGCAGCGACTCCTGACTGGGTATCTGGGCACCCAGTGCTGGCTTGATCTTTGACTTGGAAAGTCGCCCTGAGCTGTTGTCACCAGCCCCAGAGACCACCCTCAACCCTGTGTCATTCACTACTGCTCCGTGTCCGCTCCAGCCCCAGCCCTAAGGCCAACAAAGTTCCCTTCAGATAAATAGACTAAGTAAGGGTTCCAGAGGGAGCCCACCTTGCCAGGAGGCAGCCCTAGACTTTCCGTCTGGAGAGCCCCACTTCTGACAGCTGTGTGGCACAGCTGCGTGGGACCATCCCTCCCATGTCCCTTGGACGGGTACCCACCGCAGTCCCCTTCCCGAGCTCACCGCAGTGATTCCTTGCTTACCTGGGAATTGGATAGAAGTTGACCACTGCATGTGCGTATGTATATGATATATATGTGTGTGCGTGCACATGTGTTTGAGCGTGCATGTGTATGTGTACATGTGTTTGAGCGTGCATGTGCACACGTGTGTATTTACACCAAGAGTAGTGGTGTCTGCCTCTCTCTGCCGCGTCTTTTCAGACAAGGGCTCTGAACCCGAAACTCACTGACTGGCTGGGGGGATCTGCGTGACTCTCACCTCCATGGCACTGGAGCTACTGACAAACGCTGCCCCTTCTGGCTTCTGTGTGGGTGCTGGGGAATCCACACTCATGGTTGAACAGCAAACACCTTGCCCCCTGAGCCATCTCCCCAGCCCTGCCTTTTTTGTGTGACCCGATTTAAATTCTATCTTTGTCGCCGTGATTCCCATTTACAGAAATGTTGGCAGTGTGTGTGGCCTTGCTATATGATTACCAGCCAGGGTCACTCACACGGACAAGCTATTGCTGTGGCTTGTCTCTGAAGGGTCTCCAATCCTGGAGTCAGCAAGAGCTGGAGGCCACAGAGGGACCTTGGAGCCGCACCTCACCTCTCGGAGTCCTGACTTCTTGCTTTTCCGCATGGAGACAGGCTGATGAGAGTTGAGTTGAATCCCCCGTAAAGTGTCCCGCTGGCTGCCTGGTTTGTCAGAGCCATGCTGATAGACACAGTACCTGGGGACAGGGGAAGTTCTGACTAAAGCCTTAGTTAGGTGTGTCACTGAAGAACCTCCCGGCGTGAGTGCTATCACCGGCTGAGCTGCGATGTTATACAGGCCTCTGCCACACCATCCATCGCTGACCAAGATCCTCAGCGTGGCGCGTAGCTGACCAATGATGGCCCTGCTGCCAGGGACCAGCCCTTCTGGATTGTGGCTTTTGCAGGTTGTCCTTTGTTCTAGGCAAGGGTGAGCAGTTGGCAGGACGGTTGGAGGTGGGCTGCTTGGGTCTGGCTCCCAGGATTCTGGGCTGGGGCAGGGCGTGGACTTTCGCTGTCATTCCCCTCCTTTCTCTGTCCCAGTGCTGAGTTGGCTGCTGTAGTTTCGCTTGGGAAGAAGGGGTTAGGAAGATGTCAGTCTCCAAAGTAGTCATGCTCACCTCCACATGGTCCTTACCCTGACGCTTGTCAAGAAGAGGTGGCTGTGCAGGTGTGGTAGTGGTGATGGGGGTGATGGTGGTGGAGGTGGTGGTGATGGTGGTGGTGATGGTGGTGG